CAATGGAAGTCTCGGCGACATGCAAAAATTAATCACTTACAGGGGGATGGGGTTGTTGAAGTCCTAAATGTAATAACTGTCCTAAATGTAATAAAGTCCTAAATGTAATAACATTTGATCCTAAATGTAATAAAGCCCTAAATGTAATAACGTTCGGTCCTAAATGTAATTAGCCTCCTATGCAATCGTTTACCTGCGCTAACATTTGAGATGTTTCCGAGCAGGTTCATCACCATTTCACAAGATTGTCAGCAACGGCTAATCTGTTGGACCAAAGAATCCTCTGACCAATATTCATTTGTAAATATATTACGGGCTTGATTATTTAATTATTCAACGGACTTAATTTTATTTTATTTTATTTAACAATTGATATTAATCGTTTAATTGCGTCTTTTTACTTAGGTCTAGACATAAGAAATATCAGCAAAGTCGACCAATAAGCATATGGTCCTTGAGCGGTTTATTGATCGAGTTGAAGAAAATAATTTCCAGCCCAAAGTGGGCTAGTGCTTGGCTGGAAGCTCAATAGGATGGAATCGATTGGTACTTAATCATTAGGACTTTTTGGAAAAGAAATTGACTGCAATTGATAATGAACTAGCATGCTACTGTTGATATTATCGTTCATGTTAAAGTCTTTAGTAGTGATGCACCATTTTAGAGCAGTTTGAATGATGTCGCTGTGTTAATCCATGTCACGTATTAATTGTCACGTGTTAATATAAAAGAAAAGTATTATTATCAGTAGTGTTACTGAAATTATGTACATCATTGTTATTCAGTGTCAATTGATTTTAATGAAGCATTTGAGTTCATTTTTAAGAATGACTATCTTGATTTATTCAATTTTGAACCTGGGATATTGCATTTTACCCCTCTATGGCTTTACTCCACCTCAGTAATCAGTTCATGAACCATATGACTATAAGAGGAAACTATTGAATTTTTTCTTAGCGCAGGTAAACGATTGCATAGGAGGTTTATTACATTTAGGGCTTAAGTACATTTAGGACCAAATGTTATTACATTTAGGACTTAATTACATTTAGGACAGTTATTACATTTAGGACTTCAACAGGGGTATGGGGATAAAATGGGTAAGCGGTGACTCTTGTCCACCATTCTTGTTTAAAAAGGAGAGGAAATGCTTGTTTCCATGATATTTAATCAATTGATTATAAAAAAAATTTATGTTGAAGTTCAACGACAGTGTAAGAAAGCCTTGAGAGAAAATGGAGCACAGACGGCGCAAAGTGAGAGCGCTCACCTCCTACTTTTATGGTCCGGGTTCGATTCCTGAACCTGTCGTCACCTGTGAGTTGAGTTTGTTGTTGGTTCTCGTCATTGCTCCGAGGGTTTTTCTCCGGGTCCTCCGGTTTTCTTCTCTCCACAAAAGCCATTCTTCCAGGTTTCAACTCGACGTGAAAACAGTGGTCAAGAACCGCCACCTAGTGGATGTCCATTGCTAAATTTACATACCATATGCTGCAAAGACTAGCCTCGTGGATCCATTACGAGGAAGGAGGGTTACAAAGTGAAGGATTAGCAGCTAAAGAAGACAAAGCCTCCACCCTCGCCCGTGTCTCATCCCTCGCGCGTGTGTCACTCCTCGAGCGTGTGTCACCCCTCTCGCGCGTGTCACCCCTTACGCGTGTGTCACCTCTCGCGATCTGTACTTAGCCTGGATAGGTTCTCTGGCTGACGGATCCACAGGCATCTTCGGCCCTTTAGTGGGGCTTCTCTGTAATCGGCTCAACCCCTGTGTAATTGCGTTTTTTGGCGGCGTCATCTCCACCGTAGCCCTCGTAGTGACGTCACGAGCACCAAAACTGACTGACCAAAACTGCAATTCAATCGCTCTGACGAAGGGCTAAAGCTCGAAACGTCAGCTTTTTTACCCTTTACGGTGGCCAATTTGCGTTTTCAACTCAGTTGTTAACACTAAATTACCTGCTATACTCTCCCACCGACGCAGCACCACAGTTTCTTTAGAAACTTACCCCCTTTATGACTTTAATGTACTTTTCTTAAGGGATCCTTTATGGGTTTGGATCATCGTGTGTGTTCTTTGTTGTTCTAATCATCTTACAAAGGTACTTTATAAAGAGGTGCTCGTTTGTAACGGGACTTGCTGTGACAGGACCAGGTGGAGGATTGCTTATTATGAGCCCCGTCACTTAGGCCCTTTTGAATAACATTTCATGGCGAATGACCTTTATGTTCATGGCAGCAATCGTGTTTTTGACTTGCATTTGTCGTGTTCTTTGACCCAAACGTCGCCACAAGAAATGAACACGAAGAGAATCAGAGAAATAGCGAGCGAGAGTTGCAGAGAAGTCCATGTTTGAATGCTTCATATTTGTGAAATAAGGAGTACCTAGTGTACTTAGTAGCAAGTAGTACTGTGTTCCTTGGTATTGCAATTCCAATAGTTCATTTGGTAAGTTGTGAATCACAGTCGCCTAAATATAAACACCAAACACTGTTTTTTTCCCCATAAGGACACAAAAACAGCCAATGACACATAAACAACTTCAGCGTGGCCTGGCCACATCAATCAGGCTTCACCAATCCCCACAGCCATGCATATCACTTGAGAAGTGACAGCCGCGGATAAATAATGCTGCATGCTAATAAGAAAAATGGTCAGGCTGCAACGAAGAGTGTGTGTGGCATGTTACTTTTCCATTGTAGTTTTCTTTTTTGACTAGCCAGGAGATATTTCTGGTTTGAAGCAAAGTATAAAATTCAATCTACACGTGTACTATTGGTCTGCTTCTCTGCAAGGAAAGTCAACAGGGTGTTTATGTAATCCTTCTTACAAAATACAGTATGGTTTCTTCTTTAGTTCTTCTTTCCTCTTTCATCCCCTCTTCCCATGTAACTGTCACCAATATATACCAATATACTTTATCATTACAACTTTCGTCCCGTCGAAAATTTTAAGTCTTTTATTGGCTGCTGCATAGGGATTACATGGCTTGTGCTTTGGTCACAACCAATCACATGAAAACCCAAAACGAACGCGACTTGGACACGTGTTCGCAGTTCCGCCCGTTTCCCATGGTTCCGTGTGGAATTTTTTTTGCTCTAATCAGCAGTTGCAAGAGGAAATAATGTCCTCTTATTTTCTTTCAGCTGTTGTAAATACTTCGATCTTAAGTTGAAGCTCGGTCATTTTCAATTTATCCTATTCGCAACTCTTTTGCTTCAATGGTTCTTAAAATAATTGCTGGTCGAGGTTGCCGCCACCATCGAAGATGGACAAGATCCAGGAAACTTCTGCTAAGAATCAACGACGCGGGTACTCACTGGCGTTCTATTTCGCTTATATCATCTCCACTGTATTGGATGACATCCTCGAGTTCTACACATTTTTTCTAATTTTTTCGTCTTGTTCTTTAGCTTTTGACCTCTCTGTCTAAGCTACATACTGTCTCTTCAATGTTAGTTATTTTTGTATGCATCTCATTGAGTTGAGACTCGATGATATTAAGCTTTCCTAGTTTCTTCAAAATTTCTTCGATTTTACCATCCAGATTTTCCGGTAAGTGGCGAAAGTACACCAAAACTAAATGGCGGATAGGTTCGGAAAAAGTAACAACGTTTTAATTAAGAGTTTTAGGGAGAATAAAAAGAACAAAAACGCCCAACAAGGCAAAAACAGCTTGCTAAGACTCTGTAAGTCTGAGGCTCCCAAAATCGACTTTAAAAGTATGAAACGGTGACCCTGAACAAAATTCTCGAGGGATTTTAGGCGAGAGTTCGTAAGAAAGACGGGAAAGATAACGAGCTTGGCAATTTCGTGTAATGGTTGCTGCTGTCGACTGATACCCATTAGAGAAAGAGTAGCAAAGCTCGATTGCTCGTGACCGAGAGTTTAAAAGCTTGAAGCAAGTTCTTGAGGGAAAAGCCCGACTACTCAAGCAACAAGGCAAAGGCAAGTCGTCTAACCAGTGAGCCATGACACGAAAAAAAAAAACCAACAACAACCGAAGAGGAAAAAGAGTCCTATTTTTCCTTGTATATTATTAATAAATAATCACATAATTCTTATCGTAAATATTTTAAATACTACAAATTGTCCGGTCCGGTTTTTACTCGCGCTGATTGCTGATAAATCCCAATTGCACTCGAAATCATGTGACTATCCATACAAATTGAAAGTTCTCCTCGGACATTTGGCGGATGATAATTTAAGTTCCAGTATAAAAGGAGCAACCAGATAAGTTGCAAAATTGCGAACAGTTACGGAAAGAACTAATTAAGACGATCAGTGTTCATTCAAATATTCAAGCAAAGTGCATTGAAGGAAAATCTGGAAATTAAAGTCATTGGCCAATCAGAGACTTCTGGTTGATGATCAACCAGCAAATACATGAGCTTGCTGGGTATTATGGGTGTTCGGAATTCGTCATACTTCGCCTGGCCACACTTTGCGTGTACTCTGGTTTTTGTTTTGTTCATTCCACAGCCAGGGCGTAGCAATAACTTTCCAGTTTAAACAAATGCAAAAGTCTCTAACCCCTACTGCAACTTCCATTAAAAGTGCCCATATATCAATAATCAGCATTACTAACGGTCAAATATCACGTGACAACTAAAGCATAGGTTAATGTCGTTCCACTTTTCGTCAGCAGAGACTTGACCCCTCAATCAACCTTAGTAAAGGCAACATTGTCATAGTGAGGGGAAAATTGTCGTCCTGGTTAATTGGAGACAACTTTGTGATGTGAACGATAAGAGGATAAGTGCGCCAAGCGAGAGCAAAAAAGAAATGTTTCTCCCATATTATTGAAGGAGCTCTGTTGGTAAAACAAACAGCCAAAGGGAGAAAGAAGTCAAAGCATTTATTTTTAAATATCTTCCCAGGGGTTACGAAGGCTCTTAGCATAATTCCTTAATTCAAGAAGGTCCGTCCTTTCAATCGTAGGACTGGGTACGAAATCTGCCATGGTTTCATTTTCTAATGTTAGAGTGGTTCACTCTGTTGGCAGGTGTTGGCGTCGTCTGAAAGATTTACTTCGTCTCGAACTGGTTTGATACGAGAGTTAAAGCGCTTTGGTTAACCTAGGCTTCTAAGATCATCCGGTATGACCTTAATTTGGGGAAAATCCTGTAGGGTGTGTGGAAACACGGCAAACGAAGGAGACTACTGCGAACGGTTTGTGTATTTTGCTTTTATCCTTCTTCGAGCGGTATTTTAAAAGAAATTTACTAGAATTGAATAAATTCGTTATATTCATAACGTTCACTATCAGCGAGGTACTTAAACGGCAATTCATTTTGTTTTGCGAACGATCCAAGAAACCTAAGCAACCATTTCTACCTCATTAACTTCATGATCAATATTTATCCGCTGGCGACTATGGGATTCGAAATCAGCTCTCAGGAGGTGGGATTTTCTTGTGAATTTTTCTCTTTTAGGACCATATCATGATTAGAAACAATAAAACTGAATCAAGAATACTTTGAAAGACTTGACTTTGTGTTTCAGTTGTATGTGGATCAATATTGCTGATGTTTTCGTACTTTTCTTTCCCGGAAATCTATTTTAAATTCGTTTTCGTTTTTTGCCGCTAGGCAAATTTGAGGTGCAGTTGGAACAAGTTTGTTCGTTTCGATTCTTCTTTGCCAGGAATAAATTGGTTTTGGTTTTTCTAGACTTACAACGAAATTTTTTGCACAAAAGGCAGCCAAAACTGTTTCCTGCATTATAAGTTTGCGCCGAGAAAACTCGGTTTTTTGTTAGCATGTTATGCATGGTAGGTCTCCATTTCTTGGAAGATCACGACGATGAAAGCTGTTATTTGTATGCAAGCATTAATCGAAAGCGTTGAAGTGGTGGAAGGCAACGTTAATGACAGATTCTTGTTCCAAAACCGGAAACACTTTCACTAGAAGCATAACGAGACCACAAAATAACTAAAAGCTTGAAGATTCGTAGTGACTTTCCGAGTAATTCAGAACAGAAAGATAAAAGAATTTGATGTTTAATGATTTGTTTATTGGAAATTCTTGGAAATCTTGCGCAACACAAATATGACACGAATGAACGTATGTCCGCGTGTAGCTGGATAATTCTGCAATGTGGCGATCACTTTTATTTCTAAAAATCTTGCATTTGCTTGGTAGATGTAACTTATTTTGAGAACTGAGTGTTCTACCGAAGAAATGCCAAACTGACTTCTTTCTCCCGGTGAATTATTTCAATATTGCTGATGTTATCGTACCTTTCTTTCCCGGAAATCTATTTTGAAATTAGTTTCGTTTTGAAAGCCGCTAGGCCAATTTGAGGTGTAGTTGGAAGAAGTTTAAAGTCTAAACTTACAATGAAAGCTTTTGCACCAAAGGCAGCTGAAACTCTTTCCTGCATTTTAAGTTTGCGCTGAGAAAATTCGGTTTTTTGCTTTGTTTCCAAAACTGACTACACTTTCACTAAAAGCATAACGAGACCACAAAATAACTTAAGGCTGAAAATTCGTATTGAGACACTCACATGACTTTCCGAGTAGTTCAAAACATAAAGATGTAAGCTGGAAAGAGAGTTTTAATTAATACGCAAACTTAGGCAATCCTTTTAATGTTTATAAATACGGAAAATGTATTGTGTGATTCTTGGAAATCTTGCGCGATAGAAATATGAAAGGAATGAGCGTATGTCTGCGTAGCTGAAAAATTCTGAAATCTAGTGATCAGTTTTATTTCTAAAAACCTTGCATTTGTTTTGTAGATGTAGCTTATTTTGAGAACTGAGTGTTTCAGCAAAGTAGTTGAAAAAAGTGGGCTCTGGCGCATTTCGTGTCCAACAATATATAGACGTAATTTTTTTTAAGAAATCGTGTCTTTTGAAATAATGAAGAAGCGTCGTCAATGCAAACAAGATAAAGCTGAACAATTCTTTACAAAAGTACTTGTTGTTTATGAGAAGCTTCCTTGATACACGTTAAGGTACTTCAAACTTACGGGGGCAAGTTTTGAAAAAGACCGAAAGAAATTTCGGGAAAAAATGTCAGAATCATTGAAGTTAACCGATTATTCACAGGCGCGCGCTTGTTTTGATGAGAGGCTTTTTTTGAAACAAAATTCACCTGTCTTATTTATTTTACAAAAGCCCACGTAAAGACGTCAGAGTTGTCAGGGAAACGTTTGAATATTACTGTTCACAAAATCGTTCACCGTTGGACTCTTCAATGAGCGAAGAAAGACGAATGGGCTACTTCGGGGTTAAGAAGAAAATTAACATGCGGGCAGTGTACTCTGCAGGTGCTCCCGCAATAATCCCAATTCCATTCAGAGAAACCGCCATACCGCTTGTTGACAATACAGCCGACCTTACTCCTGTCACAGTGTATGTTGTGTGACAGGCGATCTAGTTTTCTTCAATTTGCCAAGGACACACACGTCGATAATGAGTAATGTCATTAGGCTCCTTCTAGCAATCAGAAATCATCTCCAACCTGAATTTTTCAGGTATTATAATTGGATAAATCGGCGGTGCGCTTGGCTGATGGCTTAGGCCGACTCGAAGAGCTTACCGCTCCGCGGCCTAAGCCTTAGGGCTTGGGTCACTTTGCGGCCCCTGGCTCAAAGAGCTTGCCGCTCTGCGGCGCAGCCCCTGGCTCAAAGAGCTTCGCAAAATATATTAATCAAACATTTTTAAATCATTAAATTATCTGTAATTCAAGCCTCATTGGCTTACTATTGAAACGGATTATATCGATTATATTCTCATCAGTGACGAAAATTCGTATGGATGCGATATCATTCCTTGGGGTTATTTTTTGGTAACACAGGATTCGGTAGAGAATAATTTATCCTTTCAAACTAACTCTTCGCAATGTCAAAGCACCCAAGAATGCTTGAGGGTTCCCCAAGTCCAGCTTTCTCATGTCCCCGTTCACTGTCGTTATTGGAATGTATTCACCTGATGGCCTTCCGTGCGACGAAGCTTTGCTCGAGGTGAAAAGGTTCAGTCTCAGCACACAATGTAAGAGAAATCGATCAGATTGTCCGCGAAAATCTTACCCAAACAAACAAGGCGAGCAACTGAGCTTCTTCTACATCTCCGTGTTAAAACACACGAAAGGACTCTAAAGCATACTTCACTCTGACTAGGCGGAAACACAAAGATTTTCTGGCACCGATCAGATACCAGAACGACTGCGACCGTTTGGAACTAGTCTTGTAAGACAATGTCCCCGGGGGCTCTTCCGCCCTGACGTGAAATCGACTCACAGCCCCTGGGTCTCCGAGGATGGAGATGAACTTCAAACAGGGAAAGAGATCAACCGAATGGGTGAAGGGACTTCCAGAAGTTGCAATGAGTTTGAATAGTGAAGAGACAAGATTGACGGCAGAGAAGCTTGTGGATGCCATCAAAGAGAAGGTGGTTGACGCAAAGAGTTCCATGACTTATTCAAGACCAGTTGGCCTGAAGGAAAAGAGAATCTACTCTTCGAAGAATGTGAGATATCTCTATGCTGCCGATGAGCTGGAAGGTGGTCAAAGAAGAGCCACAGATCCAATCTGAAGGTCTTCAATATTTAAAAATCACTTGTGAATAAAGGCAAGCCTGTTCTCTGCTATCTGAAAGATGGACCCAAATGTGGTTTCGTCAGAGCAGAGCTTCAGTTCGTTCCTCTTGGAAGTGAGTTACCTCCTGAAAGAACTCGTTGATTTGAAAAAACTATTAAAAATTAATCAGCACCCCCATTGTTCAAGGGAATAGTATTCAAACCTTCTTCAGAACTCACGAGTGAGACATTATAAACCTGTGAAAAATTCAAGTTGCTTTCAAATCAAGGTTGTTTTCAAAATGCACCACAACTGTTTTTTTTTAAGTCAAGGTTGTTTTCAATATGATTTCGAGGTAAAAAATTCATGAGTTGCATCGAAATAAAGGTTGTTTTCAAAACGCACTAGAACCCACTTTAAAGTCAAGGTTAAATCAACCTTGTTTTCCGAGGTTAAATTCATGTGTTGCCTTGAAATCAAGGTTAGATTTTTTTATTTATTCAATTCTCAGTAATAAAATGATCAACAATCCAAACCAGTTGAAAAGATTTCGATAACTTCCCAGCCTCAAATCATCTATAACCAAAGCATCTCGTACCAATCCCTTAATAATCTCCTCTCGCCAAAATTCAGGAATGTCCCTATGTAGTGGTGGTGGTACTTCTCTTGAGTGCCATACTTTCAAGTTACCATCACTAACAAGTTTCGGATACTTATCATCTGTGGTGAATAACTTTGTACACTTAGACACATAATAATCATAAGATGGAGATATCTCCTCTGTAGTAGGTTGACGCTTAATTTTTCTTTTCGAGAATGCTCTACAGTCTTTACAACCTCCTTTACCTTTTGCAAAGAATTTTTCAGCGCTATCTTGTTTGCATTGACGACACTTATTCATTATTTTTTAGAGACACGATTTTTGAAAAAAATTATGTCTATGTATTGTTGGACACGAAATGCGCCAGAACCCACTTTTTGAACAGCTAGCAAAGAAATGCCAAACTGAAATTTCTCAAAGCGGACAAAAGTTGACAATTCTTGGAAATGCCGAGCTAAACTGAATTTCTCAACGACAACCAAAGTCAATAAATCTTGGAAATGCCGAACTAAAATGTTCCAACCTCAACAAAAGTTAATAACTCTTGGAAATACCAAGCTAAAATTTCTTAGCGTCAACAAAAATTGTCGATTCTTTACGCGAGTCCTAGATAACGAGCATAGCATATCATCTAATTTAGGAAGTCAAGGGGAGAGATAAAATTTCGTTTATTTTTGCAAAGTATCAGTTTTCGTACTCGAAAATATTACAGACGATTCTAGATTTTCAGATGAAACAGACTGAGTCTCCCTCGCGGCAGTTCTGTGGGTTAGTACGTATCTCTTACCCGGACGCTAACCCCAATTCACTTAGGGGAGCGTAGCATAATATCCCAAGGAAAGGCGGCTAAGGAGACAAGAACACCACGAGAATATAAGTGAAAAATCGTCTACATGCGGATCTTCGTCACCCAGTCAACCAATGCCGTGTTCAGTTAACAATCACCTCATAGTTATTAAGTTTTGAAACACTTTTTTTTTTAAATTTTCTATTCCAGATGTTACGAACGGCAATTTCCGGTGTGTGAATACTGCGATAAGCCAATACGTGATGGCGAGGAAAAGTTTGGCAATTGTCACAAGAAACCGTGAGTAAATGTTCCTTTGCGGTGATGTTTCCTCTTGCACCGTAGGATCATGGGAACGAGATTGAAATTGTGTTGGGTAAAATAGACTGTACATGAGGCAAAAGGCCCATCTTGGGAACACTTTTCCCTCTTTTTCACTCTTTCAATATTTATTTAATGTTTAGATGTTACAGCAACATGACCAAGAAGTGTTGCAAATGTGGTGACAAAGCAGACAAAGGTTTTTATTGCAAAAGGTATGTAGCCGAAACTCAACAAACCGTGAACACCGAAACTATTTATGGAATGTTATAGGAAAAAGGCAACCACTCGCGAGAAAACTTAATCGCAAACGGTAACGGTATTTAGTTTGAGGTTTTTGTCGAGTTTGCTTGCTTAACTTTATTGCAATTGGTCACTACAAGATTATCCAGTCAGTATCAAACGAGAATGTTTACGGAGACTTAATAACAAATATAGGAAGATCTTAACTTTTGTCGCGAAATGGAGGCAAAATGCACGGAACTTTCCTTGTGGATTCGTACCCTAGCCCGGCAGTTCGGATTTAGTTTTCTACCACCCAGGCTACGCGAAAGTTGTTGAAGAAATGAGCCATGTGCTTTAGTGGCCCATTTCTCGTGGCTCCATATTTTGGTCTAATCAGCTGTTGATGGGAGCTGTTATTGAACATTTCGACCTTCATTTTGCGACGCTCAGTGGAAGATTGTTCATTGTAAAGTTACCCCTCTCACCCCTCTTTTTCTTAAATGGTTCTAAATATACTTGCAGTTGCTATGAGGCAGAGCACCCACCACCTGCCACAGTTGAATATTCGACGAAAGGAACAAACGCTAACTTTAAAATAAGGGGGAATCAGGAAATAGTTGAATCTGCCATGCATTCACTGGGCCAAGGAATAGCTGATGGATTCACTCGTGGAAGGCAGCGATACAACGCACTTTCTGAAGAGTAAGTTCTTTGAAGTTGGAATTATTCCATGGCTAAGCAGAAAAGTAAAGAACTTGCAGCTAATCCGAGAAACGCTCTTTATCTCGCTCGACATTTACTCACTGGGAAGCGAAAGGCCATAAAAAGTTCAAACGGAATATTTGTTAAATTTAGTATAACTCTTTTAAGAAGAGGAGCAAGTACTAGCCATCCTGTTAGGTAGTTAGTGTACTAGTACAAAACTGCAAAGAGTCTCTTCTAAAGGGGCGCAAAGGATTCTGGTGGAATGTTAAAATAGCTTATCAATTAATGACTCGCATCAAATTGTCCTCAACAAATAATAGTTGAACAACTGTAACATAATATAAATATTCGAGTGAGTTGGGGATGTGATTGGGGGGTTACGTGGCTTTTGCTTTGGTCACGAAAACTTGCACCAACTTCACAACCAATCACATGGAAACCCAAAACAATTGCGACTTGGACACTTGTGTTCACAGTCTCGCCCGTTTCCCATGGTTCCGTGCGGAATTTTGTTTTGCTCAAATCAGCTGTTGCAAGAGAAAACAATGTCCTATTGTTTTCTCATGGCTGTCGTAAATACTTTGATCTTAAGTTGAAGTTCGGTCATTTTCAATTTATCCTATTCGCAACTCTTTTGCTTCAATGGCTCTAAATATAATTGCAGGTCGATTATGCCGCCACCATCGGAGAAGGACAACAGTTCACGACGTTCTTACTCAGCCAAGGTGGTATTTCACTCCCAGTAGGAAACGAAAGACCTTCAAAAGTTCAGAATAAAATTTACGATAAATTCACTGTAATTCTTTTTAGATCTAACTTGATTGATCTAGTTATTGGGCATTTTCATTTGAACTGACTCGTTAGTTTCTAATAGTTGTAATGGTGCTGTAGTAAAAGAAATAAAGATCATTTGTGTCCGAGGGCTTCGTTTGATAAGTTACTGATTTATCAGAGATTAATTTAGGGTTCAAACAGTTTCTCTTTCACAGCTTTGAACGGATCGTGCAAACAAAAAAATATAAGATAAGTCATCTAAAGAAAATGAAAAATTATGTGCCATACACATAGCTCTTTAGGATGTTTTTTTTTCGTCTTCGCTTACCGGACGACGAAGGTTATATTCAGACAGATTTAGGTGAGAGACCGTTCTGAAAAGATTGAAATCTTCATCTTTTAATATTCTTGCTTATTCCTCCCTCAAGTATTAAATGTTGCAAACGAACAATGGAAGTCTCGGCGACATGCAAAAATTAATCACTTACAGGGGGATGGGGTTGTTGAAGTCCTAAATGTAATAACTGTCCTAAATGTAATAAAGTCCTAAATGTAATAACATTTGATCCTAAATGTAATAAAGCCCTAAATGTAATAACGTTCGGTCCTAAATGTAATTAGCCTCCTATGCAATCGTTTACCTGCGCTAACATTGAGATGTTTAAGTGTCAGCTGTTGGACCAAAGAATCCTCTGACCAATATTCATTGCATATTACGGGCTTGCTGATATTAATCGGCGTCTTTTTACTTGCTAGACATAAGAAATATCAGCAGTCGAAGTATGGTCCTTGAGCGGTTTATTGATCGAGTTGAAGAAAATAATTTCCAGCCCAAAGTGGGCTAGTGCTTGGCTGGAAGCTCAATAGGATGGAATCGATTGGTACTTAATCATTAGGACTTTTTGGAAAAGAAATTGACTGCAATTGATAATGAACTAGCATGCTACTGTTGATATTATCGTTCATGTTTAAGTCTTTAGTAGTGATGCACCATTTTAGAGTAGTTTGAATGATGTCGCTGTGTTAATCCATGTCACATGTTAATTGTCACGTGTTAATCCAAAAGAAAAGTATTATTATCAGTAGTGTTACTGAAATTATGTACATCATTGTTATTCAGTGTCAATTGATTTTAATAAAGCATTTGAGTTCATTTTTAAGAATGACTATCTTGATTTATTCAATTTTGAACCTGGGATATTGCATTTTACCCCTCTATGGCTTTACTCCACCTCAGTAATCAATTCATGAACCATATGACTATAAGAGGAAACTATTGAATTTTCTTTTTCATTCATTTAATTATTTATTCATTTTCTCCCCTCGCGGCGGGGAGAAGAGATGAAGAAAAAAAATGAAATATAAACTTGAGATTGACTGTAAAATAAATGTTTTCCCAATATTTCGGTTCGGGAACTGGTGAACCTGTCATAAGGGGCTAAAGGAAAAAAATGAATTGTTCATTAGACCGTCAACTGACCATCATGTGTTGAATGTTGTAGCGCAATGGCTCAATTTGACTCTTGCGTGGAAAAAAGGCAACATGTCGAGACCTGTGATCGTGAAATGGGTTGAGATATGATTAGTCAGTAGATATCTTGCTTTGTAAGTCACTTTGTAAGTCTAACTGCGCTAACATCTCAATGTTAGTGCAGGTAAACGATTGCATAGGAGGTTTATTACATTTAGGGCTTAAGTACATTTAGGACCAAATGTTATTACATTTAGGACTTAATTACATTTAGGACAGTTATTACATTTAGGACTTCAACAGGGGTATGGGGATAAAATGGGTAAGCGGTGACTCTTGTCCACCATTCTTGTTTAAAAAGGAGAGGAAATGCTTGTTTCCATGATATTTAATCAATTGATTATAAAAAAAAATTTATGTTGAAGTTCAACGACAGTGTAAGAAAGCCTTGAGAGAAAATGGAGCACAGACGGCGCAAAGTGAGAGCGCTCACCTCCTACTTTTATGGTCCGGGTTCGATTCCTGAACCTGTCGTCACCTGTGAGTTGAGTTTGTTGTTGGTTCTCGTCCTTCCTCCGAGGGTTTTTCTCCGGGTCCTCCGGTTTTCTTCTCTCCACAAAAGCCATTTTTCCAGGTTTCAACTCGACGTGAAAACAGTGGTCAAGAACCGCCACCTAGTGGATGTCCATTGCTAAATTTACATACCATATGCCGCAAAGACTAGCCTCGTGGATCCATTACGAGGAAGGAGGGTTACAAAGTGAAGGATTAGCAGCTAAAGAAGACAAAGCCTCCACCCTCGCCCGTGTCTCATCCCTCGCGCGTGTGTCACTCCTCGAGCGTGTGTCACCCCTCGCGTGCGTGTCACCCCTTACGCGTGTGTCACCTCTCGCGATCTGTATTTAGCCTGGATAGGTTCTCTGGCTGACGGATCCACAGGTATCTTCGGCCCTTTAGTGGGGCTTCTCTGTGATCGGTTCAACCCTTGTGTAATTGCGTTTTTTGGCGGCGTCATCTCCACCGTTGCCCTCGTAGTGACGTCACGAGCACCAAAACTGACTGACCAAAACTGCAATTCAATCGCTCTGACGAAGGGCTAACGCTCGAAACGTCAGCTTTTTTACCCTTTACGGTGGCCAATTTACGTTTTCAACTCAGTTGTTAACACTAAATTACCTGCTTTACTTTCCCACCGACGCAGCACCACAGTTTCTTTAGAAAATTACCCCCTTTATGACTTTAATGTACTTTTCTTACGGGATCCTTTATGGGTTTGGATCATCGTGTGTGTTCTTTGTTGTTCTAATCATCTTACAAAGGTACTTTATAAAGAGGTGCTCGTTTGTAACGGGACTTGCTGTGACAGGACCAGGTGGAGGATTGCTTATTATGAGCCCCGTCACTTAGGCCCTTTTGAATAACATTTCATGGCGAATGACCTTTATGTTCATGGCAGCAATCGTGTTTTTGACTTGCATTTGTCGTGTTCTTTGACCCAAACATCGTCACAATAAATGAACACGAAGAGACTCAGAGAAATAGCGAGCGAGAGTTTCAGAGAAGTCCATGTTTGAATGCTTCATATTTGTGAAATAAGGAGTACCTAGTGTACTTAGTAGCAAGTAGTACTGTGTTCCTTGGTATTGCAATTCCAATAGTTCATTTGGTAAGTTGTGAATCACAGTCGCCTAAAAATAAACACCAAACACTGTTTTTTTCCCCATAAGGACACAAAAACAGCCAATGACACATAAACAACTTCAGCGTGGCCTGGCCACATCAATCAGGCTTCACCAATCCCCACAGCCATGCATATCACTTGAGAAGTGACAGCCGCGGATAAATAATGCTGCATGCTAATAAGAAAAATGGTCAGGCTGCAACGAAGAGTGTGTGTGGCATGTTACTTTTCCATTGTAGTTTTCTTTTTTGACTAGCCAGGAGATATTTCTGGTTTGAAGCAAAGTATAAAATTCAATCTACACGTGTACTATTGGTCTGCTTCTCTGCAAGGAAAGTCAACAGGGTGTTTATGTAATCCTTCTTACAAAATACAGTATGGTTTCTTCTTTAGTTCTTCTTTCCTCTTTCATCCCCTCTTCCCATGTAACTGTCACTCAATATATACCAATATACTTTATCATTACAACTTGCGTCCCGTCGAAAATTTTAAGTCTTTTATTGGCTGCTGCATAGGGATTACATGGCTTGTGCTTTGGTCACAACCAATCACATGAAAACCCAAAACGAACGCGACTTGGACTCGTGTTCGCAGTTCCGCCCGTTTCCCATGGTTCCGTGTGGAATTTTTTTTGCTCTAATCAGCAGTTGCAAGAGGAAATAATGTCCTCTTATTTTCTTTCAGCTGTTGTAAATACTTCGATCTTAAGTTGAAGCTCGGTCATTTTCAATTTATCCTATTCGCAACTCTTTTGCTTCAATGGTTCTTAAAATAATTGCTGGTCGAGGTTGCCGCCACCATCGAAGATGGACAAGATCCAGGAAACTTCTGCTAAGAATCAACGACGCGGGTACTCACTGGCGTTCTATTTCGCTTAGATCATCTCCACTGTATTGGATGACATCCTCGAGTTCTACACATTTTTTCTAATTTCTTCGTCTTGTTCTTTAGCTTTTGACCTCTCTGTCTAAGCTACATACTGTCTCTTCAATGTTAGTTATTTTTGTATGCATCTCATTGAGTTGAGACTCGATGATATTAAGCTTTCCTAGTTTCTTCAAAATTTCTTCGATTTTACCATCCAGATTTTCCGGTAAGTGGCGAAAGTACACCAAAACTAAATGGCGGATAGGTTCGGAAAAAGTAACAACGTTTTAATTAAGAGTTTTAGGGAGAATAAAAAGAACAAAAACGCCCAACAAGGCAAAAACAGCTTGCTAAGACTCTGTAAGTCTGAGGCTCCCAAAATCGACTTTAAAAGTATGAAACGGTGACCCTGAACAAAATTCTCGAGGGATTTTAGGCGAGAGTTCGTAAGAAAGACGGGAAAGATAACGAGCTTGGCAATTTCGTGTAATGGTTGCTGATGTCGACTGATACCCATTAGAGAAAGAGTAGCAAAGCTCGATTGCTCGTGACCGAGAGTTTAAAAGCTTGAAGCAAGTTCTTGAGGGAAAAGCCCGACTACTCAAGCAACAAGGCAAAGGCAAGTCGTCTAACCAGTGAGCCACGACACGAAAAAAAAAAACCAACACCAACCGAAGAGGAAAAAGAGTCCTATTTTTCCTTGTATATTATTAATAAATAATCACATAATTCTTATCGTAAATATTTTAAATATTACAAATTGTCCGATCCGGTTTTTACTCGCGTTGATTGCTGATAAATCCCAATTGCACTCGAAATCATGTGACTATCCATACAAATTGAAAGTTTTCCTCGGACATTTGGCGGATGATAATTTAAGTTCCAGTATAAAAGGAGCAACCAGATAAGTTGCAAAATTGCGAACAGTTACGGAAAGAACTAATTAAGACGATCAGTGTTCATTCAAATATTCAAACAAAGTGCATTGAAAGAAAATCTGGAAATTAAAGTCATTGACCAATCAGAGACTTCTGGTTGATGATCAACCAGCAAATACATGAGCTTGCTGGGTATTATGGGTGTTCGGAATTCGTCATACTTCGCCTGGCCACACTTTGCGTGTACTCTGGTTTTTGTTTTGTTCATTCCACAGCCAGGGCGTAGCAATAACTTTCCAGTTTAAACAAATGCAAAAGTCTCTAACCCCTACTGCAACTTCCATTAAAAGTGCCCATATATCAATAATCAGCATTACTAACGGTCAAATATCACGTGACAACTAAAGCATAGGTTAATGTCGCTCCACTTTTCGTCAGCAGAGACTTGACCCCTCAATCAACCTTAGTAAAGGCAACACTGTCATAGTGAGGGGAAAATTGTCGTCCTGGTTAAGGCGGGGGTAAACCTGAAATTTGCTCAAAAACTGAGTTTTTTGTTTTCCTCGGAATTTGCAGCTTTGGGTATTCAACTTCGCTATGGAAAAATTATTTTCTACTTATTTTCACTATTTTTGCCTTTTTGAGCGATTTCAAAATTCCCGCTCTGGCTAATGGTGTGGTTACCATGGCAACGAGAAGAGCATTTTTTGATTTTTCAGTTGTTTATGACGTGTTATTCTGGCAATCAAGCTCCCAAACGGGCAGGATTTAACGAGAGATACTTTATGTAGTCTTATCTGAAGGATTTTCTAGGGTCAAACCCATTATGGGATAGATTTAGAGGCAGTTTTGAAAGAAGAAAAGAGCGAAATACGAGTGGTCAGCGGGGAAACAAATTTAATACTTCATGTAGAGACATATCAGTTGTAGTTGCAGAAAACAATGGTGTTGTAAAGCCGAAATGTTAACAGTATACTTCGCTAAATAAAATTTTAAGCAATTTTTCAAAAGTGTTGATGGCACATATGTCTTTTACTGCCGTAATAAACAATGGAGGCATCAGAAAAGGCATCGGTGGCATCCAGAAAGGCACCAAAAAGAATTATATTTACGTTTTGTAACTTGCTGCGTGACGTGCGTGACGAAAAAGAGAAAACCAAAACCGTAGTCCCCAATTGAATTCTCCCACCTTACCCCAAAAGATTATCAAATATTTCGCAACTTCACCTGTTCCTATTGGTAGGTCCGGCCGAGCCTTTATGGTCATTGGCCCTCGTATAACCGTTAACTATGGCTTATTAATACAGGTGTTTAGTGTTAAATTGTAAAACTCCCCGAAGAAGTCTACGACAATTAGACGAAACGCGTCGGAGAGTAAAGAGATTTTACAACTGCTGTTCATAGAGTGCTGCTCACCAGTCTAGTTTTAAGGATTTTTTTAAAAATTTGGTGCCGGGACAGAAACACCAACATAACATTTCACCTGCCGTTCGGTTCGAAAGTTAAGTTTTCATACCGGGTTCATTTGTTAAATTAAATAGGAAAAAAAAAACACTTCGAACGGAAAACAGAATTATTTTAACGTCTGGATCTTTTGAAAAAAGGTCTCCTGAACGAGTGGCCCTGATTATAAATATTTAAGCAAGGTAAACACATTAGCCTTAACTTGACTGTTTCTCGAAGCTCAGAGATTTCCTACATGCCTATTAGAGTCAATATTTACATGGGGGACAGAGACACGAACACAACATTTCACCTGCCGTTCGGTTCGAAAGTTAAATTTTCATACCGGGTTCATTTGTTAAATTAAATAGGAAAAAAACACTTCGAACGGAAAACAGAATTATTTTAACGTCTGGATCTTTTGAAAAAAGGTCTCCTGAACGAGTGGCCCTGATTATAAATATTTAAGCAAGGTAAACACATTAGCCTTAACTTGACTGTTTCTTGAAGCTCAGAGATTTCCTACATGCCTATTAGAGTCAATATTTACATGGGGACAGAGACACGAACACAACATTTCACCTGCCGTTCGGTTCGAAAGTTAAGTTTTCATACCGGGTTCATTTGTTAAATTAAATAGAAAAAAACCACGTCTGGATCTTTTGAAAAAAGGTCTCCTGAACGAGTGGCCCCGATTATAAATATTTAAGCAAGGTAAACACATTAGCCTTAACTTGACGACTGTTTCTCGAAGCTCAGAGATTTCCTACATGCCTATTAGAGTCAATATTTACATGGGGGGCAGAGACACCAACACAACATTTCACTTACTGTTCGGTTCGAAAGTTAAGTTTTCATACCGGGTTCATTTGTTAAATTAAATAGGAAAAAAAAACACTTCGAACAGAAAACAGAATAATTTTAACGTCTGGATCTTTTGACAAAAGGTCTCCTGAACGAGTGGCCCTGATTATAAATATTTAAGCAAGGTAAACACATTAGCCTTATGAAGGCTATGAAGTATTAAATTTGTTTCCCCGCTGACCACTCGTATTTCTATCTTATCTTCTTTCCCCGCTCGTCGCCCGTGATGTAGTAACTCCCCACTCGGAGCAATCAAAGGAAAAGTTATATCGAAAATTGTCGGAGAGAAAAGTAGATCTGTCTACAGGAAGAACAGAAAGAGAAGTTTTTCTGGAAGGCGAAAACAGAAACAAGAGTCTGAAGAAACAGCTCCCGATGTTGACGAAATCGCCGCCTCAACTCCGAGCACTTCGCTGGATGAAAATCAGCTCTCCGACTCGGACTCTAAAGAAACCGTTGGTTCCTCCAGAAAGAAAATGAAATATGCCGCTTCTTTTAGACAGCTCTGATGAAGAGTATACCTTCAATACCGAGGAAAGCGAGGGATTTAGATTAATAAATGAGAAAAATTTATCCACGGCCGTCTCAAAGGCACATGTGTGTGAGAAAGGTGAGAAATTTTTTTAAATCTATGTCTTTCTCTGTTCTCGATTATGACTTATTTCCCATATCATATCGACCCATAGTTCCAGTTTTTCCCTGCTAAATACACTGATTTATCTATTAAATCTTGGATTGGGTAAGAGAAAGATTTTTAGGTATTGTGCATATACACTGTAAACAAAAAATTATGGGGAAAAATCACAGAATGTGTATTTCTGACTTGAGGTCTTTACTTTGCTTATAACAAAATTGCCCGATTTATCTTACAATTTTCACTTGATTTGTCTTTAGGCACCTTAACTCTTGAGGAAGATAAAAGTGCAAGACTGGGGGTTACAGTTTTCCCTTCAGTGTAGTTCCTGTGAGGAATCCAGTCCACTTCCACCATCCAGTGGTGTGACCCAGTTAGGGAAATCATATGACATTAACCGCCGAGTCTTTTAGTAGGCTAAAAATCATGGAGAGGCTTTGTATCCCTGGTGGTGTTTGTACAAGAGTGGCAACACATGCAAAAGACAGTAAAAGATTGGCTAAGTCCAATTTGCAGGTTATGCAGAAGGAAAAGAGATGGCGTCAAGGGAAGCGACTTCTGAGGACTCATCGAGAGGAAGCCCTTCAAGAAGCTGAAGGAGTTACTTATGAACCAGGAGGCTTTTAAATTACTTTTAGATACTCCTGTGGACAAAATATGGACACTTGGGCCACTATAGTGGTTACATATTGTAAAAAATTAAGTTTGATTGCTATCTGTAAGTTTAAAGGCTATTTTCTCATTACGCAAAATTTTGTCTTCAAGAAAAGATATCTTGACAAAAATTTATCCAATTGATCTGAAATTTTCAGCATTTGTTCCTTTTGATAAGTTTTGTGTTATAAGCAGAGCAATTTTCCATATGATGTATGTACGTAAAGTTATGAAGTGAAATACCCCTCTGATTTTCCTTGTCAAATTTAATTGATCATCATTTAAAATGTTTTCAACATATTAGAAATCCCTCTGCTTATAACAATAAACAACATGTCTTCTTTGAATTGATACTAAAAACATTAATTTTTATTAATTCCAGAAGGAGTTATCTTTTCTTAAGTAACCCCTGGTAGAACCCTGCAGGTGGCTCAATTAAACGAGTGGTATCCTATTACAATAGACATGTTGAGTCTGAAATATTTTTTTCATGATCTTCAAGTCATAAGCTTTCCAGGAATATATAGTTTGCCTAAGTTTTGAAGTAAGTCCTAGCTGTGAAAAATGAGTGAAAAATGGGCATTTTTTCAGGTTTACCCCCGCCTTAATTGGAGACAACTTTGTGATGTGAACGATAAGAGGATAAGTGGGCCAAGCGAGAGCAAAAAAGAAATGTTTCTCCCATATTATTGAAGGAGCTCTGTTGGTAAAACAAACAACCAAAGGGAGAAAGAAGTCAAAGCATTTATTTTTAAATATCTTCCCAGGGGTTACGAAGGCTCTTAGCATAATTCCTTAATTCAAGAAGGTCCGTCCTTTCAATCGTAGGACTGGGTACGAAATCTGCCACGGTCTCATTTTCTAATGTTAGAGTGGTTCACTCTGTTGGCAGGTGTTGGCGTCGTCTGAAAGATTTACTTCGTCTCGAACTGGTTTGATACGAGAGTTAAAGCGCTTCGGTTAACCTAGACTTCTTCTAGATCATCCGGTATGAGCTTCATTTGGGGAAAATCCTGCAGGAATTGTGGAAAAACGGCAACCGAAGGAAACTACTGCAAAGGGTTTGTGCATTTTGCTTTTATCCTTCTTAGAGCGGTATTTTAAAAGAAATTTACTAGAATTGAATAACCTCTTTATATCCATAGCGTTCACTATCAGCGAGGTACTTAAACGGCAATTCATCTTGTTTTGCGAACGATCCAAGAAACCTAAGCAACCTTTTCTACCTTATTAGCTTCATGATCAATGTTTATCCCAGGGCGACTATGGGATTCGAAATCAGCTCTCAGGAGGTGGATTTTCTTGTGAATTATTTCTCTTTTAGGACCATATCATGATTAGAAACAATAAAACTGAATCAAGAATACTTTGATAGACTTGACTTTGTACTTCAGTTGTATGTGGATCAATATTGCTGATGTTTTCGTACCTTTCTTTCCCGGAAATCTATCATGTATATTCGTTTTCGTTTTTGCCGCTAGGCAAATTTGAGGTGCAGTTGGAACAAGTTTGTTCGTTTCGATTCTTCTTTGCCAGGAATAAATTGGTTTTGGTTTTTCTAGACTTACAACGAAATTTTTTGCACAAAAGGCAGCCAAAACTGTTTCCTGCATTATAAGTTTGCGTCGAGAAAACTCGGTTTTTTGTTAGCATGTTATGCATGGTAGGTCTCCATTTCTTGGAAGATGAAAGCTGTTTTTTGTATGCAAGCATTAATCGAAAGCGTTGAAGTGGTGGAAGGCGACGTTAATGACAGATTCTTGTTCCAAAACCGGAAACACTTTCACTAGAAGCATAACGAGACCACAAAATAACTAAAAGCTTGAAGATTCGTAGTGACTTTCCGAGTAATTCAGAACAGAAAGATAAAAGCTGATGTTTAATGATTCTTGGAAATCTTGCGCAACACAAATATGACACGAATGAACGTATGTCCGCGTGTAGCTGGATAATTCTGCAATGTGGTGATCACTTTTATTTCTAAAAATCTTGCATTTGCTTTGTAGATGTAACTTATTTTGAGAACTGAGTGTTCTACCGAAGAAATGCCAAACTGACTTCTTTCTCCCGGTGAATTATTTCAATATTGCTGATGTTATCGTACCTTTCTTTCCCGGAAATCTATTTTGAAATTAGTTTCGTTTTGAAAACCGCTAGGCCAATTTGAGGTGCGGTTGGAAGAAGTTTAAAGTCTAAACTTACAATGAAAGCTTTTGCACCAAAGGCAGCTGAAACTCTTTCCTGCATTTTAAGTTTGCGCTGAGAAAATTCGGTTTTTTGCTTTGTTTCCAAAACTGACTACACTTTCACTAAAAGCATAACGAGACCACAAAATAACTTAAGGCTGAAAATTCGTATTTAGACACTCACATGACTTTCCGAGTAGTTCAAAACATAAAGATGTAAGCTGGAAAGAGAGTTTTAATTAATACGCAAACTTAGGCAATCCTTTTAATGTTTATAAATACGGAAAATGTATTGTGTGATTCTTGGAAATCTTGCGCGATAGAAATATGAAAGGAATGAGCGTATGTCTGCGTAGCTGAAAAATTCTGAAATCTAGTGATCAGTTTTATTTCTAAAAACCTTGCATTTGTTTTGTAGATGTAGCTTATTTTGAGAACTGAGCAAAAGTAGTTGAAAAAAGTGGGCTCTGGCGCATTTCGTGTCCAACAATATATAGACGTAATTTTTTTTAAGAAATCGTGTCTGTTGAAATAATGAAGAAGCGTCGTCAATGCAAACAAGATAAAGCTGAACAATTCTTTACAAAAGTACTTGTTGTTTATGAGAAGCTTCCTTGATACACGTTAAGGTACTTCAAACTTACGGGGGCAAGTTTTGAAAAAGACCGAAAGAAATTTCAGGAAAAAATGTCAGAATCATTGAAGTTAACCGATTATTCACAGGCTCGCGCTTGTTTTGATAAAAGGCTTTTTTTGAAACAAAATTCACCTGTCTTATTTATTTTACAAAAGCCCACGTGAAGACGTCAGAGTTGTCAGGGAAACGTTTGAATATTACTGTTCACAAAATCGTTCACCGTTGGACTCTTCAATGAGCGAAGAAAGACGAATGGGCTACTTCGGGGTTAAGAAGAAAATTAACATGCGGGCAGTGTACTCTGCAGGTACTCCCGCAATAATCCCAATTCCATTCAGAGAAACCGCCATACCGCTTGTTGACAATACAGCCGACCTTACTCCTGTCACAGTGTATGTTGTGTGACAGGCGATCTAGTTTTCTTCAATTTGCCAAGGACACACACGTCGATAATGAGTAATGTCACTAGGCTCCTTCTAGCAATCAGAAATCATCTCCAACCTGAATTTGTCAGGTATTATAATTGGATAAATCGGCGGTGCGCTTGGCTGATGGCTTAGGCCGACTCGAAGAGCTTACCGCTCCGCGGCCTAAGCCTTAGGGCTTGGGTCACTTTGCGGCCCCTGGCTCAAAGAGCTTGCCGCTCTGCGGCGCAGCCCCTGGCTCAAAGAGCTTCGCAAAATATATTAATCAAACATTTTTAAATCATTAAATTATCTGTAATTCAAGCCTCATTGGCTTACTATTGAAACGGATTATATCGATTATATTCTCATCAGTGACGAAAATTCGTATGGATGCGATATCATTCCTTGGGGTTATTTTTTGGTAACACAGGATTCGGTAGAGAATAATTTATCCTTTCAAACTAACTCTTCGCAATATCAAAGCAACCAAGAATGCTTGAGGGTTCCCCAAGTCCAGCTTTCTCATGTCCCCGTTCACTGTCGTTATTGGAATGTATTCACCTGATGGCCTTCCGTGCGACGAAGCTTTGCTCGAGGTGAAAAGGTTCAGTCTCAGCACACAATGTAAGAGAAATCGATCAGATTGTCCGCGAAAATCTAACCCAAACAAACAAGGCGAGCAACTGAGCTTCTTGTACATCTCCGTGTTAAAACACACGAAAGGACTCTAAAGCATACTTCACTCTGACTAGGCGGAAACACAAAGATTTTCTGGCACCGATCAGATACCAGAACGACTGCGACCGTTTGGAACTAGTCTTGTAAGACAATGTCCCCGAGGGCTCTTCCGCCCTGACGTGAAATCGACTCACAGCCCCTGGGTCTCCGAGGATGGAGATGAACTTCAAACAGGGAAAGAGATCAACCTAATGGGTGAAGAGACTTCCAGGAGTTGCAATGAGTTTGAATAGTGAAGAGACAAGATTGACGGTAGAGAAGCTTGTGGATGCCATCAAAGAGAAGGTGGTTGACGCAAAGAGTTCCATGACTTATTCAAGACCAGTTGGCCTAAAGGTAAAGAGAATCGACTCTTCGAAGAATGTGAGATATCTCTATGCTGCCGATGAGCTGGAAGGTGGTCAAAGAAGAGCCACAGATCCAATCTGAAGGTCTTCAATATTTAAAAATCACTTGTGAATAAAGGCAAGCCTGTTCTCTGCTATCTGAAAGATGGACCCAAATGTGGCTTCGTCAGAGCAGAGCTTCAGTTCGTTCCTCTTGGAAGTGAGTTACCTCCTGAAAGAACTCGTTGATTTGAAAAAACTATTAAAAATTAATCAGCACCCCCATTGTTCAAGGGAATAGTATTCAAACCTTCTTCAGAACTCACGAGTGAGACATTATAAACCTGTGAAAAATTCAAGTTGCTTTCAAATCAAGGTTGTTTTCAAAATGCACCGGAATTTTTTTTTTGTAAGTCAAGGTTGTTTTCAATATGATTTCGAGGTAAAAAAATTCATGAGTTGCATCGAAATCAAGGTTGTTTTCAAAACGCACCAGAACCCACTTTGAAGTCAAGGTTAAATCAACCTTGTTTTCCGAGGTTAAATTCATGTGTTGCCTTGAAATCAAGGTTAGATTTTTTTATTTATTCAATGCTCAGTAATGAAATGATCAACAATCCAAACCAGTTGAAAAGATTTCGATAACTTCCCAGCCTCAAATCATCTATAACCAAAGCATCTCGTACCAATCCCTTAATCTTCTCCTCTCGCCAAAATTCAGGAATGTCCCTATGTAGTGGTGGTGGTACTTCTCTTGAGTGCCATACTTTCAAGTTACCATCACTAACAAGTTTCGGATACTTATCATCTGTGGTGAATAACTTTGTACACTTAGACACATAATAATCATAAAATGAAGATATCTCCTCTGTAGTAGGTTGATGCTTAATTTTTCTTTTCGAGAATGCTCTACAGTCTTTACAACCTCCTTTACCTTTTGCAAAGAATTGTTCAGCTTTATCTTGTTTGCATTGACGACACTTATTCATTATTTTTTAGAGACATGATTTTTGAAAAAAATTATGTCTATATATTGTTGGACACGAAATGCGCCAGAACCCGCTTTTTGAACAGCTAGCAAAGAAATGCCAAACTGAAATTTCTCAAAGCGAACAAAAGTTGACAATTCTTGGAAATACCGAACTACAATTTCTCAACGTCAACAAAAGTTGATGATTAAACTCAAACTTTTTAACTTCAATAAAAGTTGATAACCCTTGGAAATCCAGACTAAAATTTTTCAACTTCAACAAAAGTTGATAAATCTTGGAAATACCAAGCTAAAATTCTTAACTTCAACAAAAGTTGTAAATTCTTGAAAATTCTACGCGAGTCTTACATGGCGAGCGTAGCATAACATCTAATTTAGGAAGTCAATGAGAGAGAGAAAATTTCGTTCATCTTTGTAAAATATAGTTTTCCTACAGGCGATTCTAAATTCCAGATGAAACAGACTGAGAGTCTTCCTCGCAGCAGTTCTGTAGGTTATTACGTACCTCTTACCCGAACACTATCCCCGGGGGAGCGTAGCATGACATCCCAAGGAACGGCTGTGAAGGAGACAAGAACACCAAGAGAATATACGTGAAAAATCCCTGACGTACGGATCTTCGTAACCCAGTCAACCAACGCCGGGTTCAGTTGACAATCACCTCTCCATCTTAGTTATTAATTTTTGAGTCACCTTATAAATTCTTTATTCCAGGTGTTACGAATGCACTTTTCCGGTGTGTAATTACTGCAAGAAGCCAATGCCTGATGGCGAGGAAAAGGTTGGAAACTGTCACAAGAAGCCGTAAGTAAATCTTCTTTTGCTATGATGTATCTTCTTCCCACGCAAGACCATGGGAACGAGATTGTTGTTGTGAGGCCCATCTTGTGAATACTTGTGTACTTTTACCAACCGACTTCTCTCAGGCAACAGTCACTTTTCTTAATATTCATTTAATGTTTAGATGCTACACCAACATGACCGGGAAGTGTTGCGAGTGTAATGACAGAGCTAGAAAAGGTTGTTATTGCCACAGGTATGTAGCCGAAACTCAACAAACCATGAAACCATGGTCAGTACAAGATTATTCAGTCAGTATAAAATGAGAATGTTAAGGAGACTTAGGATACAATCAGTATCAAATGATAATGTTTAGGAGACTTAATAACTAATATAGCAAGATCTCAACCTTTGTCGCGAAATGGAGAAAAAATTCACCAAACTTTCCCTGCAGATTCGTACCCTAGCCGGTAGTTTAGTTTTCTACCACCCAGGCCACGTGAAAGTTATTGAAGAAATGGGCTACGTGCTTCAGTGGTCCATATGTAACGAGCGTCTTGCACACTGCCAGGATCAGCGATACGGAGATCCACTGTTTCAAGCATTTTCATTCAGACTGCGAGCAGTCTTTATTTTTCCAAATCTTAAAAATGCTCACCCACTTCCTTCCTATACATGGGATGTCAGCCATCTTATTTAGTGTACTGGTACAAAACTGAAAGGAATCTTCTCTAAGGGGTACAAATGCCTCTGGTGGAATTTGAAATAGCTCATCAATTATTGACTGACATTATAATTCAGTATCGTCAACAATTAATAGTTGACTACTATAGCGTAATATAAATATTCAGGTGAGTTACGCAGGTTATTAGGGATTCCATGGCTTATGCCTTGATCACGTAAAACTTTCGCCAACTTCTCAACCAAGCACATGGAAACCCAACACAGTTGCGACTTGGACACTTGCGTTCGCAATCCCGCTCCCAGTGGCTCCATGTTTTCTTTAATCAGCTGTTGATGAGAGCTGTTATTGAACATTTTGATCTTTATTTTGCGACGCTTAGTTGAAGATCGATCATTATAAAGTTACAGTCGAACCTCGATTATCCGGACTCGGTGGGACTAGGGTAAATAGTCCGGATAATCGAGAGTCCGGATAATCGAAAATATGAATATTAATGAGACAATTGAGTTATGATCGTCTCGTGTGTTTACATAACCCACGCTCATCGAACTGATCAAGCATGACATTCCTTTAGCAACAAAACAATGCTGAACCAATCAAAATTCAGCTGAACGCATTAGAATGCTTCTTGACTCTCTTTGTCTCCGAGCGCTCGATCTTTCGAAAACGGAGTGTGTAATGCGCTGTTTTAAACACAAATTTCCTGACTTTTAACATAATTTCTGAATTTTTTTACCTCCTAAAGTTTTTAACATCTAAGGTCATTAATATTCATGGAAAAAATGGGACCAGAGAAAAAGTCCGGATAATCGAAAAGTCCGGATAATCGAGGTTCGATTGTACCCCACTCACTCCTCTTTTTCCTAACTGGTTCTAAATATACTTGCAGATGTTATGACTCAAAGTACCCATCACCTCCCGCAGTTGAATATTCAAAGGAAGGAACAAACGTTAACCTTAAAGTAAGGACGGATCAGAAAGGGTTTGAATCTGCCATGTATTCACTGGGCCAAGGAGCGGCTCATGGTTTGCGGCAATCCGACAGCCTTTCTCATATGTAAGTTCTTTGAAGTAGGAATTATTCCATGGTTAGGCAGAAAAGTAAAGTACGTGCAGCCAATCAGAGAAACGCTCTTTATCTCACTCGACATTTACTCGCTGGGAAGCGAAAGGCCATAAAAAAAGTTTTGAATGGAATATTCGTTAAATTCAAGATAACTATTTTAAGAAGAAGGGCAAGTACTAGCCACCCTGTTAGGTAGTTGGTGTACTAATACGAAACTGCGAGGAGCCTCCTCTAAAGGGGCGCAAAGGATTCTGGTGGAATGTTGAAATAGCTTATTAATCAATAACTCGCATCAAAATTACCCTCAACAATTAATAGTTGAACAATTGTAACATACTATAAGTATTCAAGTGAGTTAGGGACGTTATTGGGGATTACATGGCTTGTGCTTTGGTCACGAAAACTTGTGCCAACTTCACAACCAATCACATGGAAACCCAAAACAATTACGACTTGGACACTTGTGTTCGCAGTCCCGCACGTTTCCCATGGTTACCGTGCAGCATTTTGTTTTGTTCTAATCAGCTGTTGCTGAAGAAAAGAATGTCCTATTATTTTCTCTTGGCTGTTTTGAATACTTAGATCTCAAGTGGAAGTTCGGTCATATTAAAGTTATTCTATTCGCACCTCTTTTGCCTCAATGGTTCTTAATATAATTGCAGGTTGGGTCTGCCGTCACCATGGAAGTAGGTAGGAAGTGGAAGTGGTAGGAAGACTAGATCCAGGAAACTTCTGCTAAGAATAAACGACGCGGTACTCATTTACTTTCTATTCTCAGTAGAAAACAGAAGGCCTTTAAAAGTTCAGAATAAATTTACGATAAACTCATTGTAACTCTTCATAGATCTAACTTGATTGATTTAGTTATTGGGCTTTTTCGTTTGAACTGACTCGTTTGGTTCTAATAGTTGTAATAATGCTATAGTAAAAGAAATAAAGATCCTTTGTGTGTCGTGGACTTCATTTGATAAGTTACTGTTTTATCAGGGATTAATTTAGGGTTCAAACAGTTTCTCTCTCACAGTTTTGAACGGGTCATGCAAACAAAAAAGATATAAGATGAATCACCTAAAGAAAATGAAAAATTATGTGCCATACACATAGCTCTTTAGGGTGTTTTTTTCGTCTTCGCTTACCGGAAGACCAAAGTTATATTAATACGGATTTAGGTGAGAGCGGGAGCCCATTACACGGAGCTTTTATCTTCCATACTTAACCTCTGAGTCAACCCTGTCACGTAACTTTTTATTTATAGAAGCACCTCCCACGGGATTTTTCGCGGGTGTTTACATAATAGCCAATCATTAGAGAGCTGTGGTCCTCTATTGTTTACGTCACATGCAGAGAAGGAATAAAGGTCGGCCTTCGCCTTCGACCGCCAATTTTTTTAGGGTGATATGCGAACGTAAGCGTGTTTTAGCGAAAAATTAAAGAACCCCTCCTATCTCAGTTCTAAAAATAAAAAGATACGGGACAGGGTTGACTCAAGGGTAGGATTGGTATGGAGGCTCCGGGTTATGGGTAATAAGCTCCTGGTGAGAGACCGTTCTGAAAAGATTGAAATCTTTATCTCATAATCTTCTTGCTTATTTTTCTCTCAAGTATTAAACATTGCAAACGAACAATGGAAGTCATGGCGACATGCAAAAATAGATCACTTTTAGGGGGGATGGGGGAAGGGGATAAAATGGGTAAGCGGTGACTCCTGTTCACCATTCTTGTTTAAAAAGGAGAGGAAATGCTTGTTTCTATGATATTTTATCACAACTAATTGTAACAAAATTTTATGTTTAAGTCCAACGACGGTATCAATAAGAAAGCCTTTAGCGAAAAGGGAGCACGGACGGCACAAAGTGAGAGCGCTCACCTTCCACCCTTATAATCCGGGTTCGATTCCCGAACCTGTCGTCACATGTGAGTTAAGTATGTTGTTGGTTCTCGTCCTTGCTCCGGGGGCTTTTCTCCGTGTCCTCCGGTTTTCTTCCCTGCGCAAAAGCCATTTTTCCAAATTCCAACTCGACGTGAAAACAGTAGTCAAGAACCGCCATCTAATTGAATCTCCATTGCTAAATTTACATACCGTATGCGGCAAAGATTAGCCTCGTGGGTCCATTACGAGGAAGGAGGGTTACAAAGTGAGGGATTAGCAGCTGAAGAAGACAAACCCTCCACCCTTAAGCGTGTCTCATCCTTCGCGCGTGTGTCACCCCTTGCGCGCGTATTACCCCTCGCGATCGTCTCGTGCTTATAATTACCTCCGCTCGACTGATAACACGTCACAAAAATTGAAAGACGGGTGTTCTTCAGGTTAACGAAGGCAATAAACACCTTTCGAGTAGTACCTTTTCATCAGCCGCGCTGCTGGTGCGGAGCAGTTTCATTTCGTATCGATCTCTATCAAACTTAGTGAAATGGATGTAATAAAAAATTAGTACCTTGACAACAAATTTGGCCCAGCTTTCGTTTTCTCTCTTGTCTGAAATGACTTGATTAGTATTCTAGATCAGTTTCTCCTCTTCACCGAAGCACATACAATAAACAAAAGTATAAAGAGAGGCGTAAGTGACAGGGTGGCCTCGAATCTGTCAAGGTCAAGTATGCCGCTGCCACAAACAAGTTTAGCGTGTTCGACTCAATTTGACTCAAGCCTTGCACACACATCGAATGAATAGAGATCACAAGTTGGTATAAGGGCCTTTTTTCGTCGTGTCTGTCACTGATAAAGCTCAAGGAGATGTGTATTCCACACGAATTTTAACAGTTCGACGCTGTGAAGATAGAGCTTAGATCAACAATGATTGAAACCAAAGGTAAATAAATTGTAGCCTAATTGTGTATATTCAGAAGAATCATGTTGCGAATGTAGTATATGTAAATTAGCTGACGAAACCCCCCGGCCATAAAATATGATGGAATAAAATCATGTTTAAGTTGTATATGCGATTAAAGAAGTAGATTAAAGGAAGACGAGATGGGTTGAATACGCGGAGGAAACGCAAGCTAACAAGACTTGACAAATTTTGTTTGATTCCTTCGGAGTTACGATTTGTGCAAATAAAGTGATACCTTCGCGAATTGCTCGGGCGACCTTAAAAGCCGGAACGACGGAATGGTGGAATGGCGGAATGGCGGAAAATGACCCCAAATCCTAAAACACGGAACGGCGGAAAATGACCAGGTGTCCAAATAGTGAAATAGCCTTTTTTTTGTCCAGAAAGTTTCTTTCTTCCGCTGATATGTAAGCCGTAAATTTCACAATAGGATGGTGGTGTTTTGGACACCTGGTCGCGAAGAAATTCTTCAAATTCTTCTTGACGGCTTCCTTCTGCTAACTTTCTTTTGTCTTTTCACACCATGAGAAATTCCCACGCGCGTGACACCCTGCAAACCTCTCTTCAACTAGTGTTACTCAAGTCCCAAAACTTATTCGTGGACGAAAAAACGCTCTTATTGAAGGGCTCGTAACGAGGGCTTGCTCTCACGCTAGTCTAAGTTTGGAGCTGGGGCTGAACGTTGTCATATTTTGAGAAGCCTGAAAACGTTCCTGTGATGTTCTCACATTTACAAGCATATGAGATATTATTGTTTCAATAAATCAATACATAATTTGAATATTACACGACACCCGGCGATTTTCGCTTAAATTCGACCATTAACTCGACCAGGGTAACAAGAGAACATTTTCTAATATCAGAAGACACGGAAACAGTTCCTTAGGAGTTCCTCATAATGATCGTGTTACTTTGCTATCGTGACTGTACGTGTTATTGTTGAGTCGCAATGACGGGGAAACCAGCTACAGACCACAACAAGCTTTTACGAAAGCAACAAGAACTCTTGACCTGTCTTTTCTTATCTTCTTTAACATTCTTTAATTCTCTCGGTTCATTTCGATCTGGGTAATGCTGGTCGTTTGAATCTACCTCTGATCAATCTCTCTTTGATTCACACTCCTCTACACATCATTGACCTCTAACCACTGAAAACTATGTGAACTTTAAAGTACGTGTTTATACATTCTATATCGGTAGGTATGCTAGCAAACTGACCTTTGAAGATTAAACATTTGTTATCACATTTGTTATCAAAACAGAAACCCAGCCTCACTTTTGCAAGAATCTCACAAATTAAAAACAACGCACGTAATGCTTTCGATCAACCGAATCAATCTTTGACTGCGTAAGCCAAAACAAAAACTTTCTAGTGGGTCCAGAACAAGGTCAGTGGACGATAAAGGCAATAAGTAACTTTAGTTAAAT